ATAGACAAGTAGACAGAGATAGTGAAAGAGAGAAAAAAAATTCTTTAGTATAACCAAAAAAAAAAAAGAAGTGAAAGATGTAAACAAAGAAGGGTTGAAAAAATTGCAAAGAAAGGAATAGAGCTGGAATGAAGAAGACGATAAGCTTACACAAAAATAAAACACTATTATTTTGAAAGAGAAGAGATTGAGGCGAAGGATGGTGGGAACAATGCAAGATGATTTGGCAGAATAAGAATTGTTGAACGTTTGAAAGTTTGAAAGTTTCAGCTGATGGATTAAGTGACTAACAGACATGGAATTCTACCAAGCAAGCTGCCCAAAAGGGATAGATTATAGTATGGGAAGACAAGCATACGGTCATGATCAGTAATAACCAGATGAGAGGAAGAAAAGGCAGATCGCATAATATTCTACTACAAAATGGGTTTTTAAGTAAAACAAAGCAATTTATGAAAATGAAATAAAAGAAAGATTTTCCTTGTAACCAAGTATCTACTCACTGGTGATTGGGGCCTCCAGGGCCATGATTTCAGTCCTGGAGGGCGAAATGGTGAAGATATCACTCAGTGAGGGCGTACAGAAATTCACGAGAGGATCCAACTCCAAAGACTTATTACAAAAATCCGTTTTTAGCTCCGTGTACGAATGAATAATTGAGGTGGAGACTAATCTTCTCCTCTCTCTTTTCCGCACTGGAAAGGAAGAAGGCTGATAGAGTCACGAGTCGAAGAAAGCCAATTGAATATACAACTCGGGAAGGTATTGTCGTTGTGTAGGAAGAAAATCCAGAGAGAGAAACGTGCAAGAGCAAAATACAAGTAACTAGAGCTCCCGCCTCTACACACTCGCCTTTCTATCGGGTTTCCAGCAACAGACGTCTGGAAGCACCGAAGCGAGAGGGGTGGAAGAGGAAAACTCGAGGGAGATTGACGCGCGCTGATTGGACCGCTAGAGCAGACAGGGTGGCACGTGGCCTTATCAATAAACCCGAGTGGGCGGGGCGAAGGCGGGGTCGGCAGTCGTGCGGAAGCTCGGAAGAAGACCGCTATTCGTCGCTCGTCATGGCTCGCGAGCGGTTATCAACAATCACCCATCTCGGCTGATCAAGAAGCGAGGGTTTCTCGAGACCGGCTTGGAGGAGCGCGACAGCATCTTGTCGATGTAAGGGAGGCAGTGACAAGGTAGCAAACAGATAACCAGCTGACTGACAGCACTGAGGTGTGAGAACGAGAGCCAGACCCACTTGTGTGTTATTTACGCCCACCTTTAGTCTAGATTTTCCTTTTCCCCACCCCAACCACAGCCCATCCAACAAGAATTAAGAAGAATTGATTAATAGTAACTTATTACAAATAATTCCTGTACTATGATGTATGGTACCCCGACTTGACACACGCTACGATGCAGCTACTAATCTTATGTTTGTTCTAGTCTGGTCAAGTTCATATCAATATTGTCACGAGTATTCAAGATCACATTCGTACACCGCATTATATATACATGTAAATACAAATGCTTCTGTTCAGTTCTCTCTCTCTCTCTCTCTCTCTCTCTCTCTCTCTCTCTC